GCAAATATTGACTTACACAGTGATGGTAAATACTTTGTTCCTGCTTGGTCTGTCAATGTTCTTAATGGTTGCAATAAAGAAATTTTCAATACTGCAAAGGTTAATAGTCAAACCTCAATAATGGTGAAAAAGAGCGATGATAAAAGTTCTACTAAGCTCACTTGGGAATGGAAAATGGATCCAAAGAAAGACACCATGCATGGAAAGGGAAATATTAAAGCACACCAGCTTTTGGAGCAGAAAGAACTAACATTGGATGCTAGTGACTATTTATGGTACATGACTAGTGTTGATATCAACGACACTTCTATTTGGAGCAATGCAACTCTTCGTGTGTACACTATGGGTCATACACTTCATGGTTATGTTAATAGGAGGTATATAGGATACCAATTTAGCTAATGGGGAAACAAATTCACTTATGAAAAAAAAAATTCTTTGAAGAATGGAACAAACATTATAACTTTGTTGAGTGCCACCGTTGGGCTTGCAAATTATGGTGCTTGGTTTGATGAGATAAAAATTGGCATACCAGGTGGTCCTGTTCAATTGATTGGAAATAATAATGTGACTATGGATTTGTCAACCAACCCTTGGTCTTATAAGGTTGGTTTAAATGGTGAGAGAAAACATCTATATGATTTGCAACCACACGTAAGTGTGTCATGGAACAATAATTCATCTTATATTCCTATCGGAAAGCCCATGACTTGGTATAAGTCTGAGTTTAAATCTCCTTTGGGAACAAACCCTGTTGTGGTTGACCTGCAAGGATTAGGTAAAGGCCATGCCTGGGTGAATGGCCATAGCATTGGTCGTTATTGGCCTTCTATGATTACAGATGCAAATGGATGCAGCAACACATGTGATTATCGTGGGAACTATGTAAAGGAAAAATGCAACACCAATTGCGGAAGTCCATCACAAAGGTGGTACCATGTGCCAAGGTCATTCTTGAACGATCACATGAACACATTGGTTTTGTTTGAAGAAATTGGTGGAAATCCTCAAAGTGTTCAATTCCAAACCGTAACAACGGGAACTATTTGTGCTAACATATATGAAGGTTCCCAGTTAGAACTATCATGCCAAAATGGACAAGTAATCTCACAAATACAATTTGCTAGTTTTGGAAATCCAGAAGGTCAATGTGGATCTTTTAAAATAGGTTCATGGGAAGCTACAAATAGTCAAGATGTTTTGGAAGTTGCATGCATAGGAAAAACTAATTGTGGATTTACAGTGACAAAAGAAGTGTTTGGTGTAACGCTTAGCACAATGAGCGTTAATAATAATAATAATAATAATAATAATAATATAGCTAGATTAGCCGTCCAAGTGACATGTTAAGTTAATTTTTTAAAATCATTAGATAAAATTGAATGTTATGGTGTTGCAATTGAAATTGTATAATGAATTATTTTCATTTATCTGTACTGTTACATTGATATAATTTATTTTGTTTGAATTAAATATAATTGTTCTATTTTTAATCTTTTATATAAATCACATGATCTAAACTTAAAGATACAAACTTGAGATGATAAAATTACACTCCCCAAATAAATTAACAAATAAAGATGCAAACTTAATGCAATATGAGTATGTAAACTTGAAAAATTTAACCCACGTGAAAAATTAATATATTATGATATATAAAATATATAATGTAAATTTCTATCTAGAATTGTTAAAAAATATTACATTTAAATTAAGAAATTGATAGTGAAAAATGTTAAAGTATGAAGGATAAATTAATTTATTAAAATAAAAAAAATGTAAGGGCATAAAAACGTTTATAAAGATACATTTAACAACTCTTGCTAAAATAAATTTAACACTTATTAGTTAATTGTAATTAATATCCTCATTAGTTAAAAAATAATTTTTGACTAAATCAACAAAATAAACAAGAGCACTAAAAATAACCATACTTCAAACAAGAATGAATCACAAAAATGAATGAAAAAAGGACAAAAAATTACTTAGTTATTATCGCTTGTTTTTGTTTAGGAATCGAGATATGACATAGATCCCTAAACACCTACTTCATTTTGATTCGCTAACACCTTCTTGGTTTATAAGCTTTATCTCCTTCCTTAGTATATAAGAGTCTTCAGTGTGAGGCCCCTTGACTTTGTTGAATTTGAACCATCTGCTAGGCTCCGGCCCCATGACATTTGGCTTAGGAGTAGGCAATTGTGAAATGTCTTGCATGTGAAGTATCTCTCACCATATCTACTCATAATGGGTGTTCAGAGGTGTGAAGATCTCTACAAATTTTCTGCTTTGCTCCAACATTGTCTTATCTCTGATGGGCGAGGTGTAGTGATTCTTCTATGACTGTTGTGAGCTATCAAAATTACTAGAGTTACATTCTTTTGCATTTATAGAGTTAGTTTTATACATTGATTTCCTTTTCGATTATATAACATCCCGCACATGTTTCCACCTCATCCAGTGAAGCTATGGGACTTTGGGCGAAGGATTCATTAAAATATCCCACTAGAGCCCATTTTGGAATGCTCATACAAATTTTTCCTAGTTGGGGTCGGCAACCTTGATCGTAGCCTCATTAAAGAAGGCGAGGTACTTCCTCAGATTCATAAGGGATTTGACTAATGTTAAAAAGGCTAGTGGTGACTATCTTTTTGTGTCTGCATGTTGCAAACTGGTGGACTAATTTTTTACTAAGTCTTGATAGCTAGTGACGGAGAAGAAAGGTAGGCCCATGTACCATATTAGGAATTCATCTCTGAAGGTGCTAATGAGGAGCGTACATTTCAAAGAATCAGGAGCTCCAATGAATTCCATTTACATGTTGATGGAGGCGAGATGCTCATACGAGTCGATGCGCCCATCAAACTTTGCCAATGAAAAAAAGTTTGAAATTCTATAGCACCGAAGCCTCCCATATTTAATCTGAGAGAGGTTGGGGGTCCAATCTTTAAACCTTTTTTGTAAGGCTAGCCTCATATTGGACTTGTTAGATATGGAGGATATTATCCTCCAAAGTATGATTCTGGCAGCGTAAGTAATCATCAACAACATACATCTCTACCACTGAGCTCTTCTCGACATCTAATTCATCGTTGGTCACAAATGTTTTCCCCCTGTTCCCCATGATGTACAGAGGGCATATACACGAGGACAACAATCTAGCTAAAAGTTATGATGGTAGCCTAGGTAAATTTTTGGGGCCTCACAATAAATGCCAACACCACTTGCTAAAAATATAATTTGCAACACCATGTGATTAAGGGTTGCCAAAGGATTTTAAGGTTTGATGTGAGGTTTAGAGTTATGTCAAGCTGGGAGGTGAGAATCTATTTATGAGATATCTGCATAATGAAATTCATCCTCCTCAACATTAGTATTTAGTTATTTAAAGATATCCCGAGGCTTGAACCTCAGATTCCCAAGAAGTAGAAATAACTTTAAGTATTATGGGGAAGGGACAATTACTTCCTTATCATATAGGAGAATGTGATAAACTTGCTCTATACTCCTTCCTCGCAACATTACGTGCTAGGGCACGTCACTTCCCATTTTCCCACGCTTCAGACAAGCCCTCTAGAAAATGGATGTCATATTTGAGAAATGAGCATCACATCTGAAAAATGAATGCTTTATCCAATAAATGGGTGATCAGAAGAATGGTGTTGGTGACGTGTTACTCTGTTCACCTTCCACGTTGCCCCTTGTGAGTCTTTTGTAATTATACCAATATATATATATATATATATATATATATATATATATATATATATATATATATATATATATATATATATAATATATATATATATATATATATATATATATATATATAATTAAAATTGATAATATAAATCTAGGTTAATATTGATTAATAAAATATTATTATATTCTTAATAATTTTTAAATAATAAAAAGTGTGTATAATTTTATCACAATGTTGATTCTATATAATTTATAAAATTAAATATATTATTAGAGATTATAAAAATATGTTTTTATTTTATTTTTAAATTATCTATAATCTTTTTCATATGAGCGTTTTTAAAATTTACATATAATATTAAACATATCCATATTTATTTTTCAAAAAAATAGCGAGCCCATCACCATATTGTGGCGAATCTTTTAATTTTTTTTAATGAAAATGATACTTTTTCTTCAATATCATTCCGAAACTGAAACATGACGTTGTTGAAAAAATTCTACAAATTGGTTTCAATAACTTTTTAGTAATATTTTTTTTTATGTACTCTATTTTCAATTTACAATTGAGTTAAATAAAAATTGATGCACATAAACTTGCTATTATATTTATTAAATATAGTAGGTATCAATATATTATATATCTAGTTTTATATATTGTACACATCATACACAAAACATACTTAGACCTTATCAACCTAACAACAAACTCTTTTATCCTATTTGTCTATAATATCGCAAATACCAACCGATATTAAAATGTTTGTGTTCAATATTTACATAGAAATTATCCATTCGCAGTGAAGTTGTTATTATAATGAATTAAAATAATTTTTGTAAAAAAATAAATAAGAAAATTTGGTTACACTGGTAAATCATATTTTATGATTCATATATTTTACGATTAGATATAATATTCATGTGCGTCATATAAATCTCCACCACCAGAACAACTAATGAAGAATGATTTCATTATTTTTAAAGTAAGATATATTTACATCTTAATCCAACTAATAAGATAAATAAGAATAAATGTATGAGAGTTTAGTTAAAGTAATTTACCATATTTAGCGAGTACTTATTTGTTCTTACGTGCATTGTTGTTGTGACCAATTCACATAATATACAATACGAATTTAAAAATAAATATCTAATTTAAGTATTGATTAGTTATTTCCACTAAATTATGTTCATCTATATAAATATCTTGCTCAATTTTAATGTTACAATAACAAAGTAGAAAATAATCATACATGTTTATAATGAGTTCTTTATCGTGTGCTAGCATTTTATTAATGATGCTTATTATATTGTACTCATGTTCTGCCATAGATATCACTTATGATTCAAATGCTCTCATCATCAATGGAGAAAGGCGTCTTATTTTTTCAGGAGCAATCCATTATCCTAGAAGCACCGTGGAGATGTGGCCCGACCTTATTCAAAAGGCTAAAGATGGTGGCCTGGATGCAATTGAAACTTATATATTTTGGAATCGTCACGAACCTGTTAGAGGTGAATATAATTTCTCTAAAAATTTGGATTTCATCAAGTTTTTTAAGCTTATCCAAGAAGCTGGACTATATGTCATCATGAGGATTGGCCCTTATGTATGTGCGGAATGGAACTATGGAGGGTTCCCGTTGTGGCTTCACAATATTCCAGGGATCGGGTTAAGAACCGATAATCCAATTTACAAGAACGAAATGCAAATTTTTACCACAAAAATTGTGAACATGACAAAAGAAGCAAACTTGTTTGCATCACAAGGTGGACCCATTATTCTAGCTCAAATTGAGAATGAATATAGAGATATCATGTGGAATTACAAAGATGCTGGAAAGGCATATGTAAAATGGTGTGCTCAAATGGCTCTATCACAAAATATCGGTGTTCCATGGATCATGTGTCAACAACCTGATGCTCCTCAACCTGTCATAAATACTTGCAATGGATATTATTGTCGTAATTTTAAACCCAATAACCCAAAAAGTCCTAAAATGTTCACTGAAAATTGGATTGGTTGGTTTCAAAAATGGGGGGAAAGGGTTCCCCATAGAAGTGCTGAAGATTCAGCTTACTCTGTTGCACGTTTTTTTCAAGATGGTGGTGTATTAAACAATTACATCATGTACCATGGAGGAACCAACTTTGGACGCACATCAGGTGGACCGTATATAACCACGTCGTATGACTATGATGCCCCAATTGACGAGTATGGGAATTTGAACCAGCCAAAATGGGGACATCTTAAGCATCTTCATTCAGCAATAAAATTATGTGAAAATGTTCTTACAAGTTATAGTGCAAGGAACGACACGGATCTTGGTAATGGAATCACACTAACAACATACACTAATTCCACTGGAGCTAGATTTTGTTTCTTGAGTAATAATGACGCTAATAAAGATGCAAATATTGACTTACACAGTGATGGTAAATACTTTGTTCCTGCTTGGTCTGTCAGTGTTCTTAATGGTTGCAATAAAGAAATTTTCAATACTGCAAAGGTTAATAGTCAAACCTCAATAATGGTGAAAAAGAGCGATGATAAAAGTTCTACTAAGCTCACTTGGGAATGGAAAATGGAGCCAAAGAAAGACACCATGCATGGAAAGGGAAATATTAAAGCACACCAGCTTTTGGAGCAGAAAGAACTAACATTGGATGCTAGTGACTATTTATGGTACATGACTAGTGTTGATATCAACGACACTTCTATTTGGAGCAATGCAACTCTTCGTGTGTACACTATGGGTCATACACTTCATGGTTATGTTAATAGGAGGTATATAGGATACCAATTTAGCCAATGGGGAAACAAATTCACTTATGAAAAATAAAATTCTTTGAAGAATGGAACAAACATTATAACTTTGTTGAGTGCCACCGTTGGGCTTGCAAATTATGGTGCTTGGTTTGATGAGATAAAAACTGGCATACCAGGTGGTCCTGTTCAATTGATTGGAAATAATAATGTGACTATGGATTTGTCAACCAACCCTTGGTCTTATAAGGTTGGTTTAAATGGTGAGAGAAAACATCTATATGATTTGCAACCACACGTAAGTGTGTCATGGAACAATAATTCATCTTATATTCCTATCGGAAAGCCCATGACTTGGTATAAGTCTGAGTTTAAATCTCCTTTGGGAACAAACCCTGTTGTGGTTGACCTGCAAGGATTAGGTAAAGGCCATGCCTGGGTGAATGGCCATAGCATTGGTCGTTATTGGCCTTCTATGATTACAGATGCAAATGGATGCAGCAACACATGTGATTATCGTGGGAACTATGTAAAGGAAAAATGCAACACCAATTGCGGAAGTCCATCACAAAGGTGGTACCATGTGCCAAGGTCATTCTTGAACGATCACATGAACACATTGGTTTTGTTTGAAGAAATTGGTGGAAATCCTCAAAGTGTTCAATTCCAAACCGTAACAACGGGAACTATTTGTGCTAACGTATATGAAGGTTCCCAGTTAGAACTATCATGCCAAAATGGACAAGTAATCTCACAAATACAATTTGCTAGTTTTGGAAATCCAGAAGGTCAATGTGGATCTTTTAAAATAGGTTCATGGGAAGCTACATTATAGTCAAGATGTTTTGGAAGTTGCATGCATAGGAAAAACTAATTGTGGATTTACAGTGACAAAAGAAGTGCTTGGTGTAACGCTTAACACAATGAGCGTTAATAATAATAATAATAATAATAATAATAATAATAATAATAATAATAATAATAATAATAATAATAATAATAATAATAATAATAATAATAATAATAATAATAATAATAATAATATAGCTAGATTAGCCGTCCAAGTGACATGTTAAGTTAATTTTTTAAAATCATTAGATAAAATTGAATGTTATGGTGTTGCAATTTAAATTGTATAATGAATTATTTTCATTTATCTGTACTGTTACATTGATATAATTTATTTTATTTGAATTAAATATAATTGTTCTATTTTTAATCTTTTATATAAATCACATGATCTAAACTTAAAGATACAAACTTGAGATGATAAAATTACAGTCCCTGTTGTACCCCAAAATTTGCCCTCGTATTTTTCCACAAGAAATCACAGCTTCGGGCTTTTCCTGATTTTTTCAGACTGGCTCAAGAATCGGTCAAACAGACTTTTCTTATCAGTCAGACAAAATTAGGGTTTTCATTGATTTTAAAGCAGTTCAGGCAGATTGCTAAGGTTTGGTTGAGTTGGCTCAGGTTTTGATCAAGCAGGAGCTTCTCTGACATTTAATCAAGAATCAGGGTTTTTGTGCGCATATTTCTCAAAAAGAATTAATTTTACAGTTCTTTTCAGTTTACTCTGAGATTTGGATTAAGGCATTTGAATCAAGAAATTGTAGTGTTTTGTTTAATCAGTAAAGGCTAAGGCATTTGATTTGAGATGAGATAAAAGCTGAGGTGCTTAAATTGAGAATCTGCAGTGTTGATTTAATCAGTAAAAAGATAAGTATCTGGATGTTGGTTTGATTAACGGTGCATTGTTTAATTGGAACGCCAGGTTTATTGTTGATCGATGCTAAAACCACATCGTTCATTAATTGTTTATTTATTCTAAGTTAGGATAATTAGAATTTATTTCCATTTATTATAATTTAAGAATTTATAAGTAATTAAATAAACAGCTGGAAAAAGAATTAACTGATCAAAATGGATTTTTATTCATCTTTAATTATTCGTTACAATTGTTATTTAAATACAGTATATATTTACAAAGTATTTATAATAATAATGGTTACAATGATTAAAATTGAAATAAACTATGTCCTAAATTTCCTAATCTTCATTCTTCTATCCAATGCTCCCTTGTTGCTCAATTATTTTTAATCTGCAAAACAAAGAAAAAGAAAAAAAAGTCAAAAGCAGATAAAAGAGACAGACAGTTAATTTAAAATTCATCATTAAAAGCAACTGGCCGGAATCAGTTTGCCCTCTCTGCAAATCACGAGATTTCTCCCGGTTCACAAAGAGGGATGAAAGATGCTTGCAAAAGAAAAAGACATGAAATGCACAAAAGTTGTAATTGCACAAATTCAAATTTGTCAAACATATTGCATTGTCAACAATTTTCCCATTTCAAAAATTCCTAACAGCATGTACAAGTCTAAATGCAAACTGAACTGAATTGCCTAACTGAAATTCACAATTTCAAACTTTCCAAAAGCTTCCAAAGAGCTATCAAAAGGCTATTCAAAACAAGTACAAAATGCTGTCACAAAGAAGCAGAAAATATGGAAAAAGAGATAAGAGTTATGCAGAGGAAAGCAACTATTGCAACCAAAGATTCAATATCATCATTTTCAGGCCAGTGCTTTTTCAGTAAAAGGACGGATTTTAAACAATATTTTATGCTTTAATCTGTACTGGAGAGAGAGAAGAGAAAAAAGAAAGGGCTTACAGGTTTTAGGCTTGAAGAAAGAAAGATATAAAACAAAACTGTTATCAACACAGTATAGGGGGAAGAGATATCAAAAGATAAAAACTCTCAAAACTGTAACATTGAAAGCTAAGCTCCAAACCTTACAAAGGCCAAGAACCATCAAGCCTCCAAGCCTCAAGCAAAAACCTGCCTGAAGCCTTTCAACCTGTAAAGCTTTCAACCAACCCAAAAAAGCTATACCAAACAACCTGTCAAACCAGGACATCAAACAACCAAACCTCAAACTGTCAAGCCTTAAACTAGACAAATCTGCATCCTGCCCAAACTTGTTTCAACACAAAGCTTGAACCTGCAGGCTCACCACAAACCATCAAACATAAAAACCTGCATTTAACCTGCTTCAGGCAAACTTGAAGCATCAAGCTTCAAGCCCAAGCCAAAATCATTCAAAACCTTCACCTGTCCTAAACTAACCCAACCTGTCAAAGGCCAAGCCCCTTAAAGAACACGAACATCAAAACAAGCCTCAAACTAAAGCCAAGGCCTGTAATTTCAAAGCCTAAATCAGTACCAAGCTTGCAAACAACTGAAGCACTCATGCCCTCAGAAAATTTTCATCATTGGGCTACCAAAATCATCAAAGCATTTCAGGGCAACCATACTCAAAATCACCAACAAGCATACTCAGAAACATATCAGAAATCAACATATCAAGCATACAAGTTTGCAAACATACAAGGCAACTGAGCCAACAAGAAGAAGAGGAAAAGGAAACTCAAGCGCACAGAAGAAAAAGAGCCAGCATATCAATGATTCAGATATCATCATAATCACTCAGAGGCAAAGTGGACAGAAGAGGAAAAGAAATTATACAAAAGGGTTTTCAGTTGTTCATCACGAAACCTAAAAAAGGGTGAGACAGAGTACCAGATTCTCCAACAAAGCAAGCGAGCTCAACATCACACGTCCTCCACCCTTGGCCGCCCACAGCGCCTCCTTCTCCATCTCTCCTCCTCTTCAAGCAACGAGCCAACAAAGGTATAAAACTTCTTTTTCCCCTTCTTTGAATACCTCGTACAAACACATAACAAAATCCAAGAATCAGAACAGATAAGAGCATGCAAGGTTAAAAATCCAAGACCCCTAACGCGTTTAGATAAAAGTCGTACCTTCTTTTTTACCGCCGTTTGAGTGAACGTGAGAAGGAGGATAGATGGTGGCGTTGGTGGCCTTGGGCAAAGGACATTATTCAGGCGCTTGGCGAAGAAGATGAAGAGGATAGAAGTGAAGTAAACGGCGTGCCTCTGTGTTCTCAATCCGAAACCCTAGTCCCAAATGATACAAAACCAAAGAAACCCTAAGACAAATTGTTCAAAGCCTTGGGCCTTGCCCCGTTTCAGCGCCTAAGCCCATTTGTTTTTGGGTATGCACCCCCCCCCCCCCTTTTTGACTTAGCCTGATATATTTTGTTTGGGTTGAAAGGCCCAATTAACCTTTTAGTTTCTTTTTATCATTTTTCAAACTAACTTTTTCTTTTTTACATTAAATTTTGATTAACAATGCTCTTTTCTTAACATAATTAATGTTTCAAATAAATAAATAACACTTTTTTTTATATATATATTTTAACATGAATATACAAACATTAATTTTTTTCCTTAAACTAAGAATACTTCTACTTTCTTTTAATTAAAATTTGTGTACATAAAGCAATAATTTTCTTAAAGCATCTTTCTTCCCTTTTTATAAAAACTCTTGTGTAAAATATTCTCATTACTACATAAAGACAATAAAAATACATATAAAATAGGATTTCTCAAAACATCTTTCTTTCTTTTCTTTTATTAATTAAAACTTTATATATAGATACATAACTTTGTTTTTTCTCAAACTTAAAACTTCTTTCTTTTAATTAAAACTCTTGTATAGAAATATTTATAGAAATGCATAAAAAAATAGATTTTTTAAGTTAAATCATTTTCTTTTCTTTTATTAAATGTTCTTGTTTGTACATATTAACAAAAATACAAAATGATAACAATACATAAACACCATACTAAATAATACATTAAAATTCACATTTTTCACACTTGTAATTAAATCTTACACATTTACAATACACATTTGATTATCTTTATACATTGACACATTTACATTTGCTTTATTCTTGTACATTGATACTTTTTTACATTTGCGCAATTCGATTTGGTTGTAAATTATTTGGACACTACTCTCCTATCAAGTCTCATCCCCATTTGTAAATAATTGTACCCCCACTCCCGGATACTATTTTGTAATAGCGTAGAATTTAAATTCTCGCAATTTATCGCTTTCAAATATACCATGGTTAGACCTAGGGTTTGTATGTACATAAAATCAAACGCTAGATAACCTAATACAAAACAAATACATGAAATCAATACACGACCACACTTGCACCCCTAGGGTAATCACGCTTGTTGCTTTCCAAAAGGGCCATGCTTGCACGTTGAGTTTCTTTGGCAAAACAAATCAAAATGATCATAGTCCCTCGATGACGCTTTCGAAAGTTGCCTATCAAAATGATCATAGTCCCTTCAAGCAAATTGCCAAAGACACTTGGCACCATTGCATTCATGGTCCATATGATGACCCGCGCCTGTCCCGTTAAACATACTAAACGCAAGATTGTCCACCAAATACAATGGTGGAACAAAATTGTTAAAAGGGTTAAAACATGAGAAAAAAACCTTTGAGTAAATTTAGGGGTAGACAAACTCTTAGCTACTTAACAAACTTGCAAAAACACTTGCCTACTTTTCAAACCACACTCCACAAACACTTTCAAAACAAACTTTCAAAAACATTTGAAACATCTTTTCAAAAAGATACACACCTTTGTAAAACACTCAAACACGAGTCATTACAATGGTTGCCTAAGACAAGGCATCTTCTTCAAAAACATTTTCAAAACACACACACACACACACACACACACACACACACCACAGTTTCAAGCAATTGAAAATCAAAGGCAAGTGATCTAAACAAGTAACTAAGAGCCCATGGATAACCATGGATGAAAAGGGTGCTAATACCTTCCCTTTTCATAATCTACCCCCCGAACCCACGAAACGTCTCAAAAGGTTTTTTCCTGTGCTTTTTAACCTTTCCTTTAGGATAAAATAAAAAGTCGGTGGCGA